AGCAACTAATCCATTTATGAATTATGTGACACCTCCTATTCTCATTGATGCTTTGGTTTGGTTTGGTTATTTAAATTCTACATTTAATCCAATTGTTTATGCATTTTTTTACATGTGGTTTCGCAGGGCATTAAAAATGATTCTGCTTGGAAAAGTTTTTCAACAGGACTCTTCGAGGACTCATTTGTTTTTAGAGTAACATACTTTAAACCATTGGATTCACAGGTTTGAATTTTTGCCTAGAGGCTAACCTCCCACACGCAAGAGCTGAAAATGAAAGAAACACCTATTTGTTTACTCATTTACCAAATCTGGTTCAAGCAGAGAAGCAGTTATTGTGCTTTACATCTTCTTTCATTCCAGATTGGGATTTGTATGTGGTGCTTTGGTTATAGCTATTTATATGCAATGCACAGAAAAGCAAGACTTAAGTTTAAAAAAAACTTAGAGCAGTTTATATCCATGCTCTTAACCATTAAGAAATTATTCTGATACAACAGATTAATTTCTTGAACAAGATGTGTTTATATTACAATATTTGTGTTTATTGATTGTCCTCTAGAAAGAGCAGAAAAGCCTTTTCCTTTTGAATTTCTAGACATCTTTGAGTAATAAACCAAAGGTCTTGAAGTTTTGTCCATCTACTTCCGTATGTGTGCAGAGGTCAAAATAGGCCCATAACCAGCCATACGGTCACATTTCATGGAGGGAAAATGGGTCAGAGAAAAGTTGTGCAGCTCCTTCTGTTGCCATTTCAGCTTGTGAAAAGTGCTTGTCACTTATGAGTTTGTCAGCTAAAGGCTTTGCTGCTTAATGAGATCAAAAGCATGTTTAATGAGATCAAAGAGAAGGAAAAATACAATGTACGGAATGAAAAGCAATAGCAAAAAGCAACATTGAACCTGACAATGCCAGAAAATTACGCTTGTCTAATGAATGTTTCTATGTAAAATATTTGCCTATCTGCATCTTACAGAACTTTGTTCTGTAACAACTTACTGTTGTTTTATCTGATGGCAATGCCGTGACAGCTGGTGAGGAAAGTATACAGAGAATTGTGAAGAAATGCTACGGTTGGCCTGAATGAAGGGTGAATGAGGCAGGGTGGCTGCGGAAGCACCAGGAGGAGTGGCAGAAGAAGGGCTATAGGAACGGCTTGGGGTGATGGCACCTGGGTGAGCAGGCTGTCAAGGTTACATCTGTGGGCAGCTTCTCAGGACACCCAGATTGGGGCACGAAGGACAGGCGAGTAAGTCAAAATCTAGCACATGGTCACCAGCTGAAGAAGACACACAGACTGTCATTTTTTAATATATGACCTGGCTTTTCTAGAGTTAACATATCACCAAACAGAAGGAAATAATGCCTCTGGCCTGATTGTGTGACATCTGGTTGGACTATGAAGGACCAGTCCTGGGAATGGACAGGAAAGGATTAGTACCTGAGAAGAGACTACGGAGAGAAATTGATGACTCTGTACTGAAGTAAGAGCTATGCTCAGCAGTAAATGATGCCCTCCATTCATGTTGCTTGTGTAAGTGCACATCGTATGTGTATCTTGTCTTTCTTTTCTGTGCTTTGTAGAACAGAACTGAAGCACTCTATGTTATAGAGCATAAAATTTGAATGATGCTACATTTCAGCAGAGCAAAATATCAGGATCTAAGGTTCTCTTTTATTCTTTCCTTGCCACCTTGTAAGTTTGTACGCTCCAAAATGACATAAAAAAGAGCAATGAAATATACAACACATCAGCATTTGTGCTGTGGAAGATAATCCTTCTTAGTGACAATATGACTACTTTAATACTTTATCTCACAGGAACAAAGTAAGTTAAGATTAAAAAATCTATCTTTCTGATAAATTAATGGGTAATTCTCTTCTTCCTTCATCCCCAGTGAGGCTGGCCTAATGCAGTTAGTTTTCTCATACTCAGTGTTACCTTGTGAAATGAACAGCATGATTGCTCAGACATCTTGATCTCTCTTGAAATAGCAGTTTCAGAAGTGCTGCCAGGTGATACCTCCTTTTTTCTGGTGGTATTATAAATTGAAGGAAAGTGATCTGTCCCTATGAGGAATGTTGCCTATCTGAGGCTTTTTAAGTATATTTAGTAAGTTGAGTACATACTAACATAGTCCCTTCAGGAAGTCAATGGAGAAGTTGTTTCTTTCCCCTCATCCACTATCTCCATGAAAATCTGGAAACATTACTGTGTTTCCAGAGAATTTCAGCTCTACCTGAGTTCTCAACCAGTCAGTCTCTCTTCATAACTTGTTCTAACATCTTTCTGGCATTATTTTCTAATTGCAGGAGTAGTCCATGAATGAATATGATCCTAGCTTGCTTGCAGGATAGCCTCTAGTTCAAACAGAGCACATGCTTCTCCAGTCCGTGCTTAGACGCTAGTGCAAAATGAATCCACTTAAACCAATAAAAAACAGACCCAGATTCCTGAAGACCCAGGTCCTGATGAGGAACACTCAGCATAGGTGAATCTCACACTGTGGAAAAGCTGGGATGATCCTGGGACTCCAGAAATGCTTGTGTCAAAGGCCAGTTTTCTGGAACTAGCAGTTAGATGTCTTCTCAGGACCAACTCTTGACGAGCAAGAGCCCTGAAATGAGATTTTGGATCTAGGCAGTGATCCATGAAGCTACTACTGAAGATTTGCCTGAATAGCTGCAGCTCAGAGACAGTGGTGGGATGGTGGATTGTGAAGTCCCAGAGGCACACATGCAGTTCCGTATGTCCTGCCCTGGAGCACATCAGGAGGGAAGCAGGTCAAAAATTGTCAGCAGCCAGTAGGTCATCCTGAGGAGAGGACCTGCCAGGGAGGGCAGATAGGTGAGACCTTGGGTTAGGGTAGTCTAAACCATCCCATGCATGCTGTGCAGAAGTTTGGAGGGTGTCATGGTTTAACCCAGTATGCAGCTCAGCCCCACCCAGCGGCTCACTCACTCCCCCAGTGGGATAGGGGAGAGAATCAGAAGGGTAAAATTGAGAAAACTTATGGGTTGAGATAAAGACAGTTTAATAGGAAAAGCAAAGCTGCATGCACAAGCAAAGCAAATTAAGGAATTCATCACTACTCCCCATCTGCAAGCAGACATTCAGTCATTTCCAGGAAAGCAGGGCTCCACCAGGCATAATGGTTACTTGGGAATATGAACTTTAACCCCGAATGTGCTCCCTCCTCCTTCTTCCCCCAAGGTTTTATTGCTGTGCACAAGCACAACATCTTAAGGTGTGGGTTATCCCTTTGTCAGTTGGGGTCAGCTGTCCCAGCTGTGCCCCAACCCAAGCTCTTGTGCACCCCCAGCCTTCTTGCAGAGAAGGCCTGGTCAGCAGTAGATAAAACAGGGAGGTGTTACCAACGCCGTTTTCATCACTAATCCAAAACATAGCACCATACAAGCTACTGTGAAAAAAATTAACCCTATCCCATCCAAAACCAGTAGAGAGGGCATCACAACATCATAGCTGCACAAGATCACCATAATCTATTCAGCGTAAATGGAAATAGTAGAAGAAGAAATTTTCCGTATATAGACCAACAACTCTCCTGCAAGCTAGTCTAACCAAGAGTCACCAATATTTATTCTCCACAGAAGTAACAAGGGGCTTCCACACATAGACTGCTGGTCACCTTCATCCACACCTAGAAGGCTGCTCTCCTTGTTCTTAATAGCCTACAATATAGTCACCTTTTGTGCACGGCCCAGATCAGAAAGTTTCAGAACTAACTTTTTCCTCTGGTGTCCTATTATCTAAAGGTGGCACTTTCCCAAAGAGCGTCCTTGCCTTCTGTTTACAGAGTGCCTTCTCTAGCAGAGCAACTTTAATGAAGTCCCATGTTACTTTCTCTCATTAACTCTAATCACAGGCAGCGCAAAGTTATTTCTCACTGTGAAGGGGATGTACAAATGAGATGTGTTAATGAGGCTACAGGGACTCTATTTGGACCCAAGACTTTAATAAATTAGGAGAGCACAAGAAAAATGCCTCATATTGTTGTCTGATCAGATTATGAGTTAGGTCTGGTGAAGCAGAATGTATCTTACTGCCATCTCGAAGTGTCATGATATAAACAAAGTGCAAAGGGTATCGTTAAATTCCTTATCAACACATTTAATTAGTGACTTTATTAAATACTTCCCAGGTGGCTACCTTTTTCAAAACAAACGAGTCTCCACTGGGTGATTTCATATGTTTTAACTTCCCTGAAATCTTGTGCAAAGCAATTACTCCAACATGATGAAAGGCTCTGTTTCATCAGTAAACCTACATCTGTTCATTTTGCCACCAGTGAGCACCATTTGCAACGTTTCCTTCCTTCTCATGCTTTGTACAACACTGGCAGTAAACTTCAGAGTCATGGACTGCCTCCTGTCCCCTCTGCCTGAGTGCCTGTAGCTTGTGTTTCGGTGGTTGGTGCTGCAGGCTGCGGGCTGCCACCTGCTATGGCCTCATGCATGGTGGTCCTACTTGTGTCTAAGTCTTGCGGTCTGACACTCAGACACTAGATGCAGCAGGACGGGGGAAGAGGAGGAGCACCAACTGTCCAAGCAGGACCCTTCTAGAAGTCTCACAAGGAAAGCCTCGCTCCAAAATGGAGTATTTTAAGCTGATAGATAAAAAAATACATTAATGCAGTGTTGAAACACAAAAATTGAGCTCTCAAACTGTGTAAATAATGCAAAGTGTATGGCTTTCCTTAAATCATTAACTCATCTATGTTGTGCACACTGTACACTCTCTGTCCTCTACAATGCATTAATGCACACTCAACAAAGAAGGAAATACTAGATACAGTCAAACATAAGCTACTTCATGTTTCTACAAAAGTTCTTTACTTTTGTAGTTTTTCTGATCATCTTAGTCATACTACTGCATCTAAAGACATAATTCGAAAAAAACCTATGCCTATCTGTAAGCACTTTTTGACTAGTCTGTTTCCATTAGACATAGCCTAAATTTTATAAACTTCTATGATGAAATGACTGGCCTGGTAGACAATGGGAGAGCAGTGGTTATTGTCTATCTAGACTTCAGTAGGGCTTTCAACACTATCTCCTATGAGATCTTCATAGAGAAGGTAATGAAGTATGAGCAGACAGTGAAGTGGATTGAAAACTGGCTGAACGGCCAGAACCAGAGGGTGGTGATCATTGGCACAAAGTCTGGTTGGAGGCCAGCAACTAGTGGTGTACCCCAGGGGTCAATACTGGGTCCAGTCCTGTTCGACATCTTCATTAATGATCTGGATGATAGGGCGGAGTGTGTCTTTACAATCTCAGCCATCCTGTGATTCTGCGATTCTGTGATTCTGTGAAATTTAACTCCCATAATATTTACTGAGTCTTGCATAATGTTACGTAGTCTTGCATGACTAGATTTTTCCAACTAAATTTAATTTTCTGATTTTTACTTTTTTTAACAAAATCCTTTCACCTTCATGCTGCCACTTTAAATCCAACCAACTACATGGGTAATGGAAAATGTTTCTATGTGATGACTATGCAATAGCCTTTGTAAAACAAATTCATTTTCTAAGAGACTGGATCCACAGGTAACTTAGGCAGTGGGAACTCCACAACCCACTCCTAGATGTCTGGACTTGTTATTTCCCATCAGTATAGGAAAAGTCAGTCTCTTTAAACACTGAGTACTCTTGTCAACTTTAACCTGTCAGTTAAAGAGAGATCATTGAAAACAGAGTGCATCCTATACTCTTTCGACTTCCTCAGTTACCAATAGGAGAAAATAATTCTTTGAGAAAATTTGAGCTTGTCTTTTTGCTCTTGATTGCTGTGATTTCTGCTCTACTGAAACCAGCCCAGATGAATAAAAGCAGTTAGTAATAAGAAAACAAATAGTTCTCTCCGATCAATAATTAAGAACAACATGGAAATGACATGGTACAACATGAAGGAAACTCACAGGCTGCAACAAAACTAAACTGTTTTACCAGTGAAAATAATGACTACACAATTTTCTCTCCACACTGCCTTTGCAGTACAGCAGTGCCTTCTATAACTAATTCTCAAACACAATTTCTAAGGTCCTTTCTGCAGGCTTGCTTTAACCCAGTTAAGCAGTTTCTTTCATAAAGGTTTCAGTTCCTGTAAATTTGTTAGCAGTTTTTAGACGCTTAACTTCTGAAAGGTGAGGTGTCAAACTGTTCCCGCATCACTGCCTTCTGACCCATGCTGAAAGGAGGACCAATGGTGAGGCGCATGGGACACTGCTTTCTGAAGGTAATGCTTTTTGAAGTGTAGTCTCTATCCACAGATTTATTATTTTTAAAAATCTAATTGTGTCTGCACAGATTTCTGCACAACTTTATGTTTTATAAAGGATCATCTGTGTGAAGCTTCCATCTCTCACTTGATTATTTAAAGTTACTAGACATGCCTGTCTCAAAAATACTGACAGATCTCAAAGATAAAGTATTTCTGCTGTACACAATGACAAAATTTTTCTATTTTTGGAGTCTGTAAATGATTCTGTTGTAGATAATCCCAGAGATTTGCATTTTATTTCCAAGAGAAAGTTTCATTGTTTGTCTTTAAAGCAGCTGCCATAAAAGTAGACCCCTTTAAATGTTCTTACTTTTCACTTAATTAATTTTTAAAAATGTTTGTTTTCTGCCCTGTTCTAATGACATACTGTATATTGCATTCAATAAAAATCCAGTCTTTCCTCAACAGCAGTCCTTTACCCTTGGATTTCTAATGCATGTTCAGTATATCTGCGTAAGTGTCAGCATTAAGTCTGAACATCCACCTGTGACCTCAGACTCCATTTATTCACATTAATAGTGAATTAATTTTGTCTTTTCTTATAAGAAAATAAATATTACCTTTCCTGGTTTTTATTTCTTTGTAAACAATAGATTGTCCAATACCAGATGATAAATTGACCTAAATTAACACTTCATTTGTTTCTGTAATGTATGGGGAAAACTTTCTGTACACTATGTGAAAGCTTGCAGATACAGCCAGCATGAGAGAAAGTGCTGTTGCAGCCCATTAAATGATAAGACGGTAATCTTCTTCAAGGTTGTTAAAAATTTCATTTCTAAGTTTTGTTAGAAATGGAAATTAAAAAATGTGAAAGATAGAATGCATTATAGATAAAAAACACAACATCTTCCCTTCACCTTTACCTTTAGCCTCTCCTTTTCAAAGACTGTTTTGATATGACTTGTCATATCTTGACTACCTTAAGTCACCAAAAAAACTCACTTATACACGAGGGTAAATGAATTAATAGAGCAAACAAAAATAACAGTCTTGGGAATAGAGATGCTTGGTTTTGTTTATCTTCTCCTGTTGATGTAAACCCCTAAATTATATGTATATTTTTAACTCAAAATCTCCTGGGACTTAAATGTAATGTCATAAAAGAAAAATAAATTTCCACCTTTCATTAATCTGAGCTAAGTTACAATGCCTTTTACAGACATTGCAGTTTGGCAGGACAATAACAAACCAGGAAAATGTCTACTTAAAGAAGCTACTGGTGGTATTACTAAAACAGATGTTGGTAGGGTTAGCCTGTAAAAATTACTTCCAAGCATTCTTTTTATCCTTTTGATGCTCTGTTTCTGTATTTTCTTCATTTCAGAGTGATACCTATTGGAAGAAGTCACTGGATCGAGCTGCTTCCCAAGTTCCTTTTACATGGGTTAAATTGCTTTGGACAAGAGCATCTCTTTTGGCTGCTATTTCTAAATCTGCTCTTAGTCCAAAAAAGTTATCAGGAAAAGAGGTGAAAGAAATGGGTCTAGTTCTCCCCTGATAAATGAAGGGAATTTTTTGGCCCTTGAAAGTATTCACTAGTGGTTCCATTTATAATTACTGCAGCTGGACCACGGTCTGTTACAAGGAGACAAGACTCAACCTATCTCCACTCCCTTTCGGTTAGTGGAATTATGACAGAAAACAAGTGTATATGTAGGGGAAAAAAAGAGTATTTCTTATACTAATTTTATAACTGATTTCCGTTAGATGTGTTCATTGCTACCACTTCATCATCCACAGAAGGTGAGTTTAGAATCGTAAATAATTTGGAAAAGGGGGTTTTGGCAGTTGATTTGTGACTCATAAGATGAGCATTTAGAAGAATAGCTCATTAACTGAAACCTCCAAGAAAGCTGAGGTATGTGAGATCCCATAACATCTCTCCTATAGAAAAAAGATCAACATTCTAAGATCGAAGACACAAAAAAAAAAATCCCATACAGCATTTACAGACTGAAATGACTTGAGAGGTTTCTTTTTCTATGAATCTTTTTCTTCTAATACTTCAATATTACTAATATTATGATGTATATAAAATGTAAGAACCATATTTTACAAAATGCTCCAGACACAATAGAATGCACAAAATAAAATTGATGTTATCATTTAATGTAGTTAATTTAAGAGGCAATTAAGTTTACTTTCAACTGCTTTATTTTAAATGTTATTTGCAATGAATTTTATAATAGCTTCCAGTTACCAGATTTCGTATACCATTTCAGAAAAATAATGGGTTGCAGTTGTTCCCTATTTAGGCCAAGAGAAAATTTGCCTCTGAATTACTGCATTTCACCCAGTAATTTAATTCATGCTCTTGACTTACTTTTTCTTGTATTCTCATGTTAGGATTTGGAATCTTTTGGAAACCTGTGAAAATTAAATTTGCCTGTGGAACTGCATCTCCAGCAGAAAAATCTAATACAGGATTGATTATGCTTTCTCCGAATATCTCTAGGGATTTGACTGATTGCTCCGAGTTTGGAAATAGATCCTGTCCTGACAGCTTAAGGTCACCAGGAGTACGAGGGGTAATGTATCTATTCATAACAGCAGCCTTCATTCTCACCATCTTAGGGAATCTGGCCATAAGCATTTCCATCTCGTATTTCAAGCAGCTTCATTCTCCGGCCAATTTCCCCATCCCACCCACGGCCGTCACGGATTTCCTGCTGGGCTTCGCTGGTACGCCCCACAGCATGGTGAGGTCTGTGGAGAAATGCTGGTATTTTGGGATGACATTCTGCAAAGTTCCTTACAGTTTCGACCTGATGCTCTGCTTCGCTTCCATTTACCACCTTCGTTCCATTGCCATGGATCGGTTTTATGCAATCTGCCACCCTCTGCATTACACCAGCACCGTGACTGTCACAACCATAGATAAATCGTAGCTGCGTGCTGACCGGCGCCCGCTGCTTTTGCTTTTGGTGTGGTTTTCTCGGAAGCTTATGCTTCTGGAATTGAGGGCTATGAAATGTTGGTTAAATGCTCGAGCTTGTGCCCTATTGTGTTCAACAAACTGGGGGGGAGCTTTCTAAGAATAAAGACAGAAAAGCTGCCAAGACTTTGAGTATGGGTTTCTTAATATGTTGGTTTCCTTGCTTTTTTGCAATCTTAATTCATCCATTTTTAAATTTTTCTACTCCTTTACCTTTGTTTGATACTCTAAACTGGCTTGGGTATTTAAATTCTTTCTGGAATCCATTAATATATGGCTTTTTCCATCCATGGTTTCAGAAAACATTTAAATTCAACCCACATTTTTGTACAATAAAATTTTTATCTGAAGATCAGTCACAGTAATAGATTCTACTACTGACAGCAGCTCTAGAAATGAAGAAGAGACAGTGGATTACCAGATATTCATGGTTCATTAAAAGCCTGAAATGCACAATATGAATTTTATGAGACAGTCCTCTAGAATTATCTCATCAAATATTTCTTTAACAAAATCAGTCTCATTTTATATGATATTTATTTACCACTTGTGTTCGCTTTTAATGCCTTGTTAGTGTTTCAGAAGTTTAAGTCTTTCCAGGATCTCTTAATGCATTGGTTGTCTTTTAATTTCAGAAAGTATTTACATACAGTATTTCACCTAACCTTGTATGCATGCAGCTAATCTTTCTTGAGGTCCACCATCAATAATGTCCTCAACTTAATACATCCCAGGCTAATATGGTGAGTCTTTGTCACCCTTTTGTGACCGAGGCATTAGCAGTTGTATAGTGTCTACTGTGATTCCCAAGCAAATAGAATTTGAATGTAACTTTGGTTTGAAGTCGATCTTTTCCACTGAAAGCAACAGAATCAAGTTTCAAGATTCAAGATTATCCTTCGTGTGCTTCCTACTTGGGGAGGGGTACTCGGGAACGAGAGTACTGCCCACACTCAGGTGCGTGCTTGTGCTCTCTTTGTTTAGACATCAGGCTCCAGATGTTATAAAATATGCTTGCTGACAGCCCCCCCCATATTCTCCCCACCTCACTTTCATACTGACCTGGAGCCTCTAATGGAGGTCCTTGCCATGCTGAGCTCTCTCTGAAGTCAGTATGAATCACTGCCAGAAGTCACATCAGTTACATGCTTAAAATAAGGTTGGCTGAGTTGTCATTACTGAATGCAGCTCCTGCAGTCTTTTTAGTGCGTATTGTAACTCTTACTTGCCTTTAGCACTACGCATAGAGTAGTGCTACTCTACCCTTATTAAAGTCTGACTACCAAAAAGCCACTCACAGGTTTATTCACTTCTTGGCTTATTGCATCTATATTAACATGGCACACCAGTGATAGCTTCTCATTTTCTTTGCTGAAAACTTTTTAATGCATCTGTGATAGTATGAATATGTTCTATTTTGGATCTGGAGAATCCCAATTTCACCCCAGCCCTAGAACACTTGAGACAGCAAGGAGCTGGAAGGTCACAGACTTGTCTGGGGTGGTGCGTAAGGCCATTATTCTTTCATAATAAGAAACATAAACCCCAAGGTCTTTAAGTTGATGCAAATACTCTGTGCACAATTGCCACCAGCTGAACAGCCAGAGCAGGGTTGGATGCAATAAGGTCTTCAGGCACCTAGAAGTTGGATAATACATTGTCCCGTATCATTTCTCAGTGCAAGCCCAGGGAGTCCCTGGATTAAGCATGAGGGCAGCGGGAGCAGTGCCCAGGGAGAGCAAGAAAACGGAGCAGCAGGTTGCTTGTGGCCAATGGCCCAGCTCTGGAGAGCCGGATCTCTGCCACAGCCCAGCCCTGACTTTCAGAGCCCGTGCTGTCACCTCAGGTTTGTCCAGACTCATCTTAATCCGTCATTGCTCCTGCGGTGCTTTCCTGGGGGCCAGCTCTCTGGAAGCTCTGGTGAAGCAGAGGGCAACCTTTGCATGCGTTTCACAAGACACCTTACTGGCCAGGGTGCCATCTGGGATGCTGTCAGGAACTTTCTGCTTCTCCTTTTGGAGCTGAGCCACATGAAATTCATAGTGTTTGGGGCAATACAGAGAGCCCGCAGTGTGCCAGCGCTGGAGGGAGAGGGGAGCGCCATGCCAGGGGTGATGGTGGATGCGGCAGAGACGGTGTCGCAGCCAGCTGTGCCAGGTCATGTCTGCATGCGGCTCAAAGTGGCTTCTTCAGAGAAACTTGTGTGCCATCAGGTCTGTCTTTGTGTTAACTAACAAATGTTAAATGTCCCTGACATCCTTCCAGCAGTGAAACCATGAGTCAGATGATGGGCCACAGAAAAATAGATATAACACCAGAATTGGAAGCAACTACAGATCCTTTTTAAGTGTCTTCACAATGTTTGCTGCCAGCGTTACTTGCCACTGTACTCAACTATTCTGCAGAGTGAGTTTTAATCCCTTCTATTAGTTACACAAGAATGTGTTAAATTAATGTTAGGTGTCTAATTAAGTCTCTATGACCACATTAAGATATTTCTGAAAATTCTTCTATGTATTATATGTCTAGCTGGTAACATACAATGCAATTTGAGACATTTTAATTAATGATTAAATTACTTCATTAACACATAGCATAAATAATTCAGAGTCAGCCCAATACATCTCCTACAAAGACAACATTTCTTCCAGACTGCAAATCTTCAGGAAAAAATTTTGAGCTATCTGTGAGGCTTCAGTGTGTCAGGTCCTTGTGTGTGTCCAGTGTGTGCCCTTGGATGTTAAAGGAGTATCTACTTAGTCAGTTTTGCTACCCGACTTGCAGTCTGCAGCTAGATCTTCTGCAGTAGTTCTTCTGGCCAAGGGGACTTACAGATCTGTCAGATGGTGGGATTTGGTTCCTGAACGACTTTGTGGCAAGCTGTGCTGCTCCACCTGCTGTTAAACTCGATGCTGGTGCTAAACTTGGTGCTAAACAAAGCACTGCTTTTCACAAAACCTAGGGCAGCAGAGTAACAGAGATTTTTTGTGGACCACACCTCCTGGTGCACAGGAGAACCTGGGTGTCTGTGGGTTTTGCTATAATGTATTAACCACATTCAGTGCAATGGGGCATACCACTTATGTTCAGAGGCAAGCACTGCAGATCTCTTCATTTCTTCCTCTCCTTAGATATCACAGAATCACAATAAGTTGTTTTGTATTATTTTTTTCTGAAATACGTGCTCTCCCAATAGTCTATTTTTCCAAACTACACAGTGAACTGTTTTAGCATGAATTCTGGTCTACATCAAATCCAGACCATGTTCTTCTCCTCAGGGCAGCAGGCAGAAGGGGTAGGACTTCTTGTATCTTTTTTATTGTGAATTATTCCAGCAAGATCTAACGTTGCCCTTGGAGGATATATTTCCAATCCTGGATTCAGAAGGGAGTTCAAGCTCCCACATCCATCTGGGCACGTCAGCCTGGGAGCAGCACCGTGGTCCTCTTCCTCTCTGGTACACCCCAGTTTGAACATTCAGGACACAGTTAAGAGCACCTCAGCCTTAAGCTCCCATCCCACACTCATCCTCCCTCTTACAATGCCTCTAACACTGTCAGAGCCGTCTTCAAAACCAGTGATTTTTATTCAAACAATTGCTATATTTTTATTCTTAAATGGTTTGTGGCCAGAATAGTCAAGTTCTCTGTTATTTTTTCTTTCGATCTTTTCTGTCACAGCCTAAACTGTGAGAAAGGGTTTCCTACCCCCTTGTGGAGTCCACAGGCAAAGGCAGCTTTAAAGAAAAAAGTCGACAACAACTCGTATTAAGATGGGGTAAAAAAAAAAAGTTGTTAAATCCTTGAGTGGCAAAAACACCAGCTGAAAACTTTTTGAGAAATAGATTGATTTATTTTTGCAAGCTCTGTGCTGATTTTTATTTTATACCTTCATAATGCAGAGTACTTAACATGTATTTAGCATGAAGTCACTGATACAACTACAGTTTTGAAGGCAGGCATATTCCAGAGGTGAATTGAGTGAGCAATAGCATAAAACATCCAAAAGGCAATGCTCCGGAGACATTGCAGTAGCATGTCCAAAACAAATTATTCAAGATTTAAATTAAACGTTTTGGTTTACAGGCATTAATTTTTCTGTTCAAAATGAAAATATGCCAAAGAAGTCAGATAAGTTCAGGAAAATTAATGCTCAATAGTCATCATCCAATTTTCAGTTATAAGGGGGTTTTGACAAGAAAAAAACCCCAACATTTTTATCAGATTTATTGAAAATGAAGTAAATGAAAGTAACTGTTCTAAGAAACTCCTGACAAAAGGGCATATACAGCTCTAACTGTAATATATTAAAATAATTTATTTATTCTTCCATTTATGTAACCTAATCAGATCATCTTCCCAGGTCGGTTGTGTGTCAATCTTTGTGGCTGCAGCAGCAACAGGGCATCAACGAAGCATTACAGAGAAAACTGACATAGAAAAGGACGTGCAGTTTCTCAAGAGACAGCCATGAGTCTTTTTAACTATATATAAACTAAGAATATTCCAGTTTTTCTTGAAAAGAAAGGAGGAGTGCTTTCACTTGTATCTTCAGTTACACATTTCCACCAAAACACAGGATGGAGAAAAAGAGCACGCAAAGCAGCTTTGGGTTTTAGTAAGAGAAAGGATATTTAAACACAAAAGTTGCACTTGTGACTGTGTCTAGACAGTTGTCTCTAGACCTGATGTAACACTGTAATCATGATGGTTTAAAGATACTTCTGAAGGTATAAAGATGTGTTTTAAATAAATTAGGAGAGGCAAGACTTGACCCAAGGAAGGGCTTGTGTGCTCAAGAACAATTTTTTTTTTCCAGAAAAAACACACCCCTACAGATCTTGTTCTTCAATGTTTAAGCAATGTTGTTTTATCTGGTTTTCTTCCCCAGGACTGGCTGTGTTGCAATACTTTGGTGAATACTTCATGCTGCCAAATCATGACTTCATCCAGCCTCTGGAGCTGGAGCTTACAGCTGGAGTGGTATTGCCTTGGCTTTGTTAAGATTTTAGGGCCTGGAAATGCAAGACATAGTTAACAATTTAGGGCCTAGAAATGCAAGGCACAGGCTGTGCCCCTGTGCTACGCACAAATGTACACAGGTGGAACCGTCCTGTCCAGAACGGGGCAAAA